TTGAAGAAATCAACATCAAGAGTCTTCTGTTGTCACAACAAAAAGAGAATTGAAATCATAAAGGAAAATAAAAAAAATAAAAAAAATAAAAAAACAGAAAAAAAGTTATCCACTGAATATCTTAAAAGCCGAATGGGATAATCAGATTGGCTGATTCTATATGGCTTTATTTTTGTGGGTACTTTGAAAATGAATGATCATGAAAAAATAGTGGAACTTTTCTTCCTTTTTTATATATTTTTTTGATGATCACAATTTATGGTCCAAAGGTATCTTTTATATGGATTCTGTTCACTTTCTGTGGTCCGACATCCTTTTGTCATTTGGGCTTGTAAGCTTTTTTTTTTTTTTTTTTTCGGATTTTAACTTTCAAGGTTTCCTAAAGCACAGAAATGGGTTGAATATTCTATATGTGTGGCCAAATCACAACATGTATCAACATCTACTATGTGACGCGTGATGTTCTTAAATTATTGTCTGGTTTTTGTTACAACGAACGAATAAAAAACGAAAAACAAGGCTTTCAATGAGAACATGTTACCAAAAAGTTGTGTGCGGGGGAGTGATGGTAGGAACTCGGCGTTTGCACTCCACATGTCAGTGTTCGAACTTTTCAAGCTTCTTACGTTCTCGACTCATCCGGTGTGTGGCTATGGGACTGTGCTACATTACCCCCAGTTTGGCGCCATGGGGTGGGGTCCCTAAGGGGCCTTATTTCAAGAAGTTCTGGGTCATCAAAAAAAAAAATGTTCCCTATCATGACAGGTGGCACAGGAGTTTTGTAACATCAGATATAAATAAAAAATATTTTGGGCTAAAACAATACTTCCAATAACTTAAATTTTTAGATCAAATAACAAGTTTCAGAATTTTTTCTGAGGGAGCCATTATTGAAGAATTAAAAAAATTATTTTATTGAAGATAATTTATTATTTTATTTAAAAAAATTATCTTCAAAGAATTAAAAAAATTTGATGATAATTTTTTTAAATAAAATAATAAATATAAAATTTTAATTTTTTGTGGTTTGTCTAATTCAGATTCTTTGATATTTTAAACGTGTCAATGCTTTCTAAATTACCATGGATTTGGGACGGAAAGAAACAAAAAAGCAGAATTTCTTTACTTTCTTTTGGATCTAAACGCAAGAATATATATAGTGAGTATTTTTAAAAAAATTGAGTGGGAATATCAAAGTGTGAAAGAGAATCATGAATGTGGCGGGCAGTAGAAAGTGAAAAAAAGATTATTATCTTTTGGATCCAAAAGATTAGTAGAATAGGAATGTGAAGTGTGGTATTTTTACCAATTGAGATGGTGTATTTTTAAAAAATTTACAAATTGGGTGGTGTCGTTTTCAAAATTTTAACAAAAATTATAGGTGATAATGTAAATATGAAAAAATCCAGTGTGGGCATCCGCACCCCTTGGTCATTAACCAGGTCCCTTTTTTCATACTCAACAGTGCACATATAGTGAAATTTATTTATATTTTTATTTATATGTCATGTTATAATCGATCGGAATCGTATAATAATTTTTTTATATGTTACACATTCTAAAGATAAATAAATAAAATAAATGTCGCATATGTTGCTATCTACCTAAACATGCAATGTATCTTCATGGAAGATAACTGTAGGACATGTGGAAGAATAAAATGTTGGAGATATTATGAAAGAAATTATTTATAATATGCACGTCATGTGACTCGTGTCTTTCTATTTTGAAGCACAATAGACAAATCTAGACATTGCAAAGATTAGAAAGTTCATTGCACTATGTTTGCTGTACAAGATTTATATAGATCTTTTATATATATATATATACATATTTATATATTTCCGTAAGTGAATTTCATTCAAACTGAACAAACATAAACTACAAAATATTCAACAAAAGCAAACTAGCCGACCATGTGTGCGTGTTTTTCATTTCTTATTCGCTTTTCAATCACATGTTTCTAGTTATATAAAAAAAAAATACAAAAAAAAAAGCGAAGCAGGAGTATGATTTGCAATTGAGGTGTAACGGACTCGAACAAATGTTGGTGTAAACTGATCAAATTGAAAGTGTGCAATGGTATCAGACCCTTAAAAAATTATTACGAATCAACTGCTACGTCGCGTGTTGACCGATACAACGAACCATGAATAAAAGATTTATATAATTTTTTATTGAAATTTATGTGTAAAATGTCGGATCTCATTCTTGTTTTGATGAAAGTCAATTTAGGTAAAATAACACATCAAACATAAAAATAATTGGTAATTGAGTCTCAGAAACGGACCCATTCATAGTTCAGTGGGTGCAATTGACCCCACTGATTGATTTTTTTTTTTTTTTTTGAAAAAAAAGATTGACCCCACTGATTTTTTATTTATTTATCTATTACTATATACTTATCAATATATATTATATATAATATATCTATAAAATTTTAAACTTGTCCCGCTAATATTATAAAGTTCCTGCAATTGACCCTCAATAATTTCATTGTAATTCAAATTAAGTGAGCCAACAGTTCATAAAAGTCTCAGTGCTTGACTTCCCAAATAACATGTTCAAGTTGCACAGGGGTCCTCTCTTATCCTTCTACCAATAGTGTCATTATCATATTAATTCGTTGTATTTCAAGAGATGTCTGTAACCTCATTATATAATGTGTTTACACATGCTTATGAGAATAGTCGGTTGTTCTAATTCTCACAATAAATAAAAGCATTTGAAAAAAAAATAGTAAAAAACTTAAGTTCATAAAAAGTTTTATTTATCTATTTCTTTTTGTAATTAAGAGGTAAAAAAAATTAATTAGTTATATTTTCTCGTCTTTTTCCTTAATCATGTGTACATACAAACTTTCTGTATACAGTAATTTGGATATATATTTTTTATTTGGGTTTAACCCTTTTCCAGGATCCAAACATCACGCATAAAAGAGGCTAGCTAATGAATAGAATGTGACAACTTACATTGGAGTTAGTAGCAATAATTACTTCAATTGATTTTTTTATTTTCTGTTTTATTATTTTTGTTTTTTCATAGAAACAAAAATAGTTTGACTAAGTCATTTCAAAGCTTATTTTAAAATATAATACATGATCTTTTATTTTTTAAGGACTTAATTTCAACTATACCACGAGTCCAATTATACCAATCATTGGAATTGGAAAAAAAATATAAAAATATATAAAATTATACCAATCATTCATGAATATTTGTATAACTATTTGATTAGAGGAATGTGACAAACAGGTCCATGATGATTGTGAAGTTGTCAAACTGACTAGCCTTCCTGGGAGACAAAGTGCCTACATATTCAATGCAAAAGTGTGTGGTTATCTTATAGTCCAAGCGTTTCCTTCACTCTCCAATCAGTTACCATATATATATATATATATATTTATATATCTCTTGTATTATATATAAACAAATATATATACGTGTGTGTGTGTGTGTGTGTATATATCTAACTGAAGTGGGTGGTCACAGAACACATCCAAGAGTCTCATCAATGGATGCTTACTCTAACAGCTATGTCTACTGTATGTTTGGGACCAGGCTATTGAACAGAGAGGAAAAATAATGCTTATTTTGGAAGTTCTGAATGGTGCTTTCAATTTAGAATGGGACTAAATTTCTTTTCATTATAATTCTAAAATGTTTAATTCGATACTCCCAAGTACTCGATAAATCGATGTATGTATTGAGACTCAGACCGTCTGAAAAAGTCAAACATATTTAGTGGCTTTTTCTTCTTTTTCATACTGAGGACTTTTATTTTTGTATCTCTTTTTCAATATTGAGACTGAGGAGATTCGAAATCTATTTATGTCTCTTGATGTAAGTGCAACATTGAAAAGGGGTTTGAATCATTGTTTACTTTTTAACTCGAAATGAAATGCAAATCCAAATTTGAATGTGACAGAACCTGAGAATTTTTATTAGATTATTATTTCTTTTATGAGTATCCTATGGTCAAGCTGAGTGATAAGTAGACATTGTTATTCATTACTTTGTTAAATCACATCACATAATACACAAAAAAGACTCTTCCTATTACTTATATAAAAGATTCTTACATGTTATAAATGTTCTTTGTCAAGCTAATTCTACAACCACTTATTTTTATTTTTATTTTTATTAACTATTTAATAAATTACAGACACATATCTATTTGTTTCGCTGAAAATTTAAACCCTAGCCATTTATTTGAAAAGAAATAACAATTTTTGGTAATTATAATCCAAAATCTTTTAAGATGGCAATATTATTTTTTCTTTTAATAGTCGATAAGTTTTCTAAAATATTTAATGTAGACATAAATATGGCTATTATATATACTCTCTTCGTTCAGGTTTTTTTTTTTTTTGGGGATGTCATGGCACCAACTCTTTAAGGTGAAAAATTCAAAATTATCCATTAATTTAAAGTTAAAAAGTTCATATTATTAATTGAAAATAATAAATAAAAAAAATATCATAACTCAAGAAAATTTTGAAATATAAATTTTTATATTGACGTTTTTAATGAAATACGAATTTTGGGTGGTTTTGAGACAGTACTGTGCGTTTATTAATAATTTAGGGGCATGGAAAAAATTGACATGGGAAAGAAGACACAAGTCATTCATTACACAGTAGGTGATGATATTATTATTAGATATCAAAGCTTTAGGCGAACTTGTGGTCAACATAAACCCAATCATTTATTGTTCTTCTTTTAGTAAACATTGCATGTTACTTTGTTACATGCCTCCTTGCTTTGACACAGACCATGATGTGCCACACATAAATTTTATTACACATGAAATAAACAACAATAATTCTTCAAATCTCGGACTGATTCCAAGGTTAGTATTCTCATCACTTATAATTAAACATATATGTAAAGGTTATAAAAATTATATATACCAAAATATAATATATCTTAGTTCTTTGCTTAGGGTGGGACCCGGCAATTTAAGCACTTAATGGTGGGAAGTAGTTGAAAGAAACTAGTAACACCAAAATATTCACACTACTATTATATTATTATATAATCAAAGTAACAGCAACATTAAACACGTCCAAACGTATGAAAGAGTCCAAACATATCCTAATTCCTATGTTTTTCCAAGTTCATTACTACTCTAAGCTGAATTAAGGTAAAAGATGATGAATGTGAAGTGTAACGTTACATCTAGTTCTTGGTACCAAAAGCTGCAGATGTTTGTTGCATTTGCTGATACAAGGCAGCCATCCTACCGTATGTATCCATGGTCATGGGCTGTAACAAAATCACAACCAATCAGAACTTCCACCCCATCGGACATCTCATAATCAAGGGTTGTGATTGAAACACACCGCATATATTTTTTACCTGTGACTGGCATGCCAGGAATGCGGACATGGGATCGGCCATTACTGTTGAAGGATTGGCTAGTCGGTCCACAGTGCTATCCCACGAAGCCATGGGCATGAAGGCAGCCGGGGGAATAACCGGAGGGATTCCCGCGATGTTAGGGCGGCCCATCGTGTTCATGTCCATGACACCCATCCCCATCCCCATTCCCATACTCATTGGGGTCATCATAGACATCTGGAGCTGCTGTTGCAGGGTCATTGGCAACATCATGGATGACATGTTCACTCTACTCAACATGTTTACTTGAGATTGCAATTGTTTCAAATATTCAATCACTTCATCAAGCATTGAAGCTTTATCGGTCTGAAATAACACCACAAGAAACCACAACACCAATAAAAATTCAACCCAAGTGGTCAAATTATTTCAAATTAACAATATCAACAGAAATAGTTGTAATAATTTGTTGTGTTATCGAATTAAATTAAAAGTGCATTAAAGAACTCCTCCGAAATCTACGCCGTGATAAACATGTACACCAAGAAATCAATGTACAACAGTGGCAACTAAATGATTAATGGATAGAAATGATTGATTTCGTGACCACCACAAAAGTTGCGAGGGCCTACCACCATTGCAAGGGACTTATGTGGTGGTGGTAGTAGCTGGTTGTGGTAGAGGTGCTAGTACGTGTTTGTTTCCACAGACTATCCTTCTGTCAAGTGACCTCTATATATTCTATATATCTCTGTGTGTGTGTGTGTGTGTGTGTGTGTGTGTGTGTGTGGATGAGGATTGATCATTGGATAATTTGGATGATTCCTAAAATGGACGACTACTACTTGAACTCATAAATGAGTTGGACCACTTCTCATACAAGTCATTGTCTTTTACCCCCATTTTTGATTCTTTCTTTTCCTAAGTTTTTGTGTTTGGTTATTTACCATATTTGTAAAATATGTCGTATCACTCAAATGATAATGAAGGGGAAAATAATAATTCACATATCTAAAAATACATATTATATTAAAAGTATGTTTGGATGTGAAAAAAATTATTTTAAAATAATAACCACCTTAAAAAGGAGATTGCAATCATAAACCAATAGGCCTGTGACCACGGTACCAAGCCCCCATTTCCTAAAAGGAAGTAAGGGATTTAAATCTTGGTGGAAGAATGTGGGTGTGAATACCAAACTAAGAAAAAAAAAAAAAAAAATTGCAATCATGAGTTTTACAATTTCAAATAGCTTGAAAAGTAACTTTACGAGAAATATTTTTAAAATAGCATTATAATACTAATTTACTGCAAAATCACTAAGATTAAATTGGTGCGTATTCTAATAATAACTTCCTTTAATTATAAAAAATAACTACTCATTATTGTTCCTGATACTCTGTACCCAATATTTTCTGATTCGTATGTGAAGTGTCTAGATCAAATTATTTATTTAGTTTTGGAGTGAATAAAATTAAGAAACATAAAAACACCAACTTTTCAAAAGTAAATCACACAGGGAAAAAGACTACAACATTCAAAAGTTACGAACGACATATCTGATGTTCATCAAATCTGAGAAGAAAATTATCAACGCAAGAAAGACTTACATAATATATTAAAAACTCATACCTTACTGGAATTTGGGACCATCTTCTGCAATGTCTTCATCCTTTGGTTTATCTTATCTCTTCTTTTCTAAACAAAAATACGAGAATAAATTAGATTAAAAAATTCTAAGAAAACCAACAATTAAATCTCCAATCCAAATATTCAATTCACACAGAACTCACTTTAAATATACATGTGTGTGTCAATATATATATATATATAATACTCCATACATAGAGACTAGAGAGAGAACATACACGTTCAGATTGGTTATGGATAGCAGCAGCCCTACTCCTAGTTGAGACACAGGATCTCCCAGTTGCTTTCTTTTTGTCTTTCTCTTCGCCAGCCCTCCTCTTTAAAATTCAAAAGAAACTATAAAATTTAAATAATATATACATATGCAACTATTATAAGGTTCAATACCCAAATTCTATAGCGTCATGTATATATATATATATACTTTGAATAGGAATAGAGGGGACAAAAACAGTGCCTGTGGTCTGCTGTGACAAACGGAGTCATGGTCGTCGGTTGTTGTCGCCTTCGTGCACTGCTTGCCGGAGCTCGTGTCCTGCGACCCCATGGAAGTAGAGGTGAACGCTTCCACACCCAGTTCTCTCTCGCGCGTGTCAACCGTCACTTGCTGACTCTCCAGCCCAAACGTGGCACTCCCACTGACGCTGTTGTCCCTGCTGCTCCACTCGTGTGCCACGGCCACCGGCACACGTGCCACCCTCCTCGCACGCTTCAGCGCCTCCTCATCCCTGGTGTTCTCAAACGTGGCTTCCCCGCTGCAAGACCCAACATGCGTCGAGCTCCCCACCACGCACGTGCCAACCACGGGCACGTGCGTGGACCTCACCTCCTCCGCTGCTCTGTTGGGAGACGGCACCAGCGCGTCCATAGTCATGGTGGCGGCCGCGGCCGCTACCGCCTGCTGGTGGTCCAGCCATGGCACGAAGTCGTTGCCTCCGCCGTCCACCAAGGCGGTTTTGCAGTGGGGCAGACGTGTGGCTTGGTTGACTATGGACTCTAGGGTTCCGCCGGCACGGGGCTTCTCCCACGGGTCTTTGGTGAGTGATGAGTTGCCCGGAGGTTTGTTAAGCAAGCGCGGATGGCGTAAACCGTGCATCGCTAACTGCCCATTTTCCCATGTTAGCTCTGCCACTTCGTAGTCTAACCTGCACGTACAATAAATCATACCACCGCCATTAACACAACTATACGCATGTAAACTGCAAATATATATATATATATATAGAAAGAGATAGAGATAGAGAGAGAGAGTACATGGGAACATCATGCGGAAGAGAATTGGAATTATTGGAATTTGAGTGAGCACGGACAGTAAGCCGATGAGGGGTTTGATTGTCTTCGACGTCCCAGCTAGGAACACACTGGCTCATATTGGCATACAAGTTGTAGGTGCTGCTACTTGTGAGCTAGAGAGTAGAGATATGTTTGATTTAGACTAGCCTTATATATACTTGAGGTATCTTCATCCTGAAGTTCTTGTAGAGAGAGAAAGAACTGTTTTTTAATGTTTTGTTCTTATGATGTTCGGAGGAGGCAGTAAAGCAATGAGAGAGGGGAGTTTCAGTATTTATTGTAAGGATAAGCACAAATCTGTTTTGGAAAGAGATGGAAGAAGAGTTTGGTCCTGGGAAAGAGAGAGGTATTTTTTTATTGGGCGTCACAAATAGGGGCATCTATAAAGAGGCTAATGTGGGCTGCAACCACATAACCCACAAAGGAACTTCACAATGATAAGACGCCCACATTTGTACTTCCCGCATGCACACATTCCAGAGTTATGCTAAAGGAAAATGCTCTTATGCTACTATTTCACATACTATATGTTTGCGTGTTTTTTTAATTCATGTATTTTTTAATAAATTAATCCTGATTAGTCCAAATTATCTGCATTGTATTCACCTGACTTTAACAAAATTATTTTAAATGTTTAATAAAAAAAATCAAAATATATTTTTTTGGTAAGGAAACAAAATGCAAATAATATAAAGACGTTTAATTATTATATATTTTAACATTTGATTTTTTTGGTTATTAAAAATTGCAATGACTAGAAAAACTTTCGATAGGACTTAAAAGTTTGGCGCAACTAACGCTTTTTTTTGGGATTTGGGCTTTTTTTCTTTTTTTTTCTTTTTTTTTTTTTTTTTTTTTTTTTTGGGATATGGGCTTGGCACAGGTAAAGGTGTTAGATTCCATAAACCAACTCCATGACCCACCCAAATCCCACCCTTCCTACTCTTTAAAAAATATATATGAAATGTTATAGAAAAATTAATTCTATAATATTGAAGACTTTTATAAAAAATAATATATTGGATAATATTCATGTGAGAGTTTGTAGAATATGTATATAGTTATTATTGGAGAAGATTTATGAGAGCATGGTGTTTGTTAGAAATAATAAAAATTTAACCCTTAATTGTAATATATAATTGTATACTAACCGTTCATCAGAAAATCATTGCCAATATATATATATATAGTTAGTGTCAAATACAAAAGTAGGTGGAATGTTTTAGGGTGACTAAGTAAACAACTCGATAATAAATAATGAAATTTTAAAGTTGGATTATTATGTATAATTGTATACTAACCGTCAAAAAAATATTATATATATATATATAGTGTAGACGGAGGAGATAAAACGTTTTAGGTTGACTCAACAAACAAGTCGATAAGAAAGAATGAAATGTGTAAATTTCTATGTCAATAATTTACTCAATAGGGTTATTCCATAATTTTTTTCCCTATATATATTTGTATCTCTCTACAGTAATATCGCATATGTGTTCTACTGTTATACTATTCAAATATCCATACGAAACTATCAAAAAGAGATTCAAATTCCTTCTCTACCATACCATTTAGATCTTATTGAAGTGATAAGAGATATTTGGAGATCGTTGAAGGTATGATGAAGAAATGTTCAAAGATCGTTGAATGTATGATAATCGTGAGCGTGAAAGGTTTTATCGATGAAAGTTGCCTTGAAGGTATTTCTTTGTGTTCAAATTATGTCGATCTACAGCAAATTTTTTTTATTTTTTATTTTTTTTATTTTGAGTTTTTTTTTTTAAAATTTTATTTTAAGTGTTAGAATCTTATCAACTGGATACCTGATTTTGATAGAGGGAAACTGGGAAAGGAATTAGAGGTTAAGTGAGCAAAACCAAAGTATTAAAATCTTATTCCTTAGAAAAATGAGTCACCTAATAAATGGAGAAAGTTGAGTGGATATAAGTACTCCGGAAATAAAGTATTAAAATCGTATCGGTTGGAAATAAAAATTTGATAGCTAGAAATGGATTTTGATAATGTAATAATTCCCTCCTTAATTTAAAATTTTTTTTTTTTTTATTATTCGATTTTTTTTTTTTTTTTTCAACCAGAAATACAGGGAGTAGAGATATTTCTGAAAATGAGAGAGAGGAGTTAATAGAGAGGGGAGATAAATTTCTTAAAATGAAAGGAGAAAATCAGGTAGGTTATTTAAATATCAAGAATAGTAGTATTGTTCAAATAAAATTGATTGAAATAGTCATCTGGCATTTAAGTTATTTTAAGAACTTAAAAGGTGGGTTAGAGTTAGACATCTAAAATTATTTCATCGTGTGATTGAAGGGTCTTTGGCGTGGACAAAAAAGTGTGTGTTCGCTTTACCATCTAAAAAATAAATAAATAATAAAATAATTATATCAAACCTCAGCCAAAGATATATATCAAGTTATTTCATTTGGAGTCATTTACACCAACCTCACAAGAGGTTAGGCTAATTTACCCTTTATTTTTTCATTCACCATATTTATATCAGATGCACCATGTTATTTTTATTTATTTAATTTTTTATATTTATCATATTTGTGTTAGATGCGTAGAGTTATTTTGGAATGCTACGTCTTGCTAGCAGCCTCCTACTGTGGCATATTTGCTGCAGACTGGAGTCATACATCATGCATCGGGATAACTTCTTTTAAATAATTCTGCAGTGCATTGTATACACGCTAATAAGTTAATAACACTTTAAGTCAAAGTACAATATAATTATTTGAATATATTACATGCACATTAAATATTAAAAAAAGTGTTATTGATAATTCAATTTATACCTATTAAAAAAGTACTATTAAAGTGAGTCTGATATCAACTATAATAAGTCGGATGCGTCAAAATCCGACCTAATAAATTGGCTGGAGTTAACACTCAACTCATTTATACCCATTTCACTTTCATCTGAATTTAATATAGGATAAGACTCATGTTGTAATAATTATCCCCTACATCATATTTATACACACCAGTTCAACTACACAAATATGTTAAGAGTAATCAATACTCATATAGCAAGTAATTAAAAACGTTTTCCATTAGCAAGTATGGTGAATATGATTTAAGTGTTAGAAATAATAATTACCAATATATATACATTAATCATATTCGACGTCACCATATTTAACGTGGAGAAATTTATATATATGTCTGTGTAATAATCAAATTATCTGCATATAAATTCTATTTGAATAATCAGTGCTCTTGAAGTTGAGTAAAGGGGTTGGGAGAGCTACTCAATTCTCACTCAAAAAATTTCTTATAATGAATAAGGTAATTGAGATCCTAGGATGAGATTGGATTTAAATATTAAAATCATAATTTATTTTGAATGGATTTTTGACAAATATTTTATTAACCCAAAAACATGAGTAACCAAACAATTCAAACTAAAAGTATACATATTTATATAAAATTAAATTAAAATTATATTATTTATAGTTATCCAATCATAGATTCGTGGTATTCACCTAACTTCGACAGAATTATTTTAAATGTTTAATAATAAAAATAAAAAATAATTTTTTGCTAAGGAAACAAAAAGTAAATAATATAAAGATGTTTAATTATATATTTTAACATTTAATTTTTTTTCTGTTATTAAAATTTGAGATAACTCGAGAAATTCTAAAAATTCCATGCTACTCATTTTTTGGGGAGTTGGGCTTGGCGTGCCCTTTTTGGGATTTGGGCTTGGCCCAAGTTAAGGTATTAGATCCTGTAAACTAAGGGATAATTTCACTTACCTCCCTGAGGTTAGGCCTAATTACAGGCGGTACCCCTGTCGTTTCAAATATTACACCTCCCTCCCTCCAGGTTAACTCCGTCATAACAATCTGTCCCTCCCGTTAGTAGTTAACGCCGTCTTTTGATGATGTCAGCCTCTTCTCAGTGTGAAATATCACATTTGCCCTTAAAAAAGTTGCAAAGACATTTACACCCTCACTGTTGATTTAAAATTCTTTAATACCCTCAATATAAAGACAAAAAGACCTTCTATATCTATATATATATACACACACACACACACACACACATATACTATATCATCTCCTCTCTCCTCTGTATGAGTCTCTCTGAACTTTAATTTCTCTCTAAAATTCTATATAATGGTCTCTCTATCATATGTTTTTCTATTTATTAACAAACAACAAAAAGTAAACAATAAATTTCAAGAAAATAATATTAAACTTTTGTTTTTTTGGTAATTACCATATTAAACATTTTGTCAAAGGAAAGGCAATATATAGGAGTTTCTGGAAAAAAAAATTAGGAAACAAATAAACCCACAGGGCCATAGCTAATGCGAAGAAATGATACAATACAATGAACTGTATGGGTGGATGATTTAGCTATCGGCAGTGCTGAAAGCCCCAATCGTTCAAGCCACCGGTGACACACAACGGTGAGATCAGGAAGCATAGCGACAACACGACAATGATGAAGCGAGACCAATAAACAAACGGCAAACGGCAAAGCCCCGACCAACAACTAACCACCAAAAAAGTCAAAGGGCGACGCCATAAACAGTCACTCGGCGACTGTGGTATACCAACAAGCACAACCATCCACGTATAAAAGAACGCGATGAACCCCCAAATTGAAACAGCGCTGACAAAGCTTACATGGCAAATGATTTGGGTTAGGATTTTATTCTACTAAATTGAAACTCGTGATTTGGGTCTCTACTTGGGTCACTGAAGATGGGGAAGATTTCTCACAGTAGTCGATGCAGATGATGGGGACACGGCGAGGAAAGACGGAAAGAAATTTCCAGGTCGTCATGATAGCCGACGTAGGGTACGAAGGCACGGTAGGCCCAGAGGAAGAAGCCGTCATTGTTGGGGTAGGCGGTGGCGAACTCGGCGGTGATGAGGGCCTCCCGGTGCGGACCAGGTGAAGGGGAAGAAAAGGAAACCGAGGATGGCGAAGAGAGGGCCAGCAGCTTGGACCACCTGTTCTTCGCCAGAGTAGTTGGAAAGAAAAAGAGAAAGAGAGAGGAAAGATTCAGCGGCTGGTTTGCTTGTATTTTTTTATTTCTGTGCTTTGTTCGTTGTTTGGTTTCTTTTTCTAGGAAGAAAAAAAATAAATAAATAAATCTAGGCTTAGGGGTACATATGGTCATTTGTTAAAATAATTTGATAACATTTTATATTAATATAATAATAAAGGGTATATTAGTACTTTCACATGAATTTTTATCGGAATCTAACGCCGGTCACATTGAAGGGAGGTCGGTGTAATATTTGAAATGTTAGGGGTACTGCCTGTAATTAGGCCTAACCTCAGAGGAGGTAAATGAAATTATCCCTGTAAACTAATTCCTTGGCCCGCCCACGTCCCAC